GCTTCCAACCACTTGGGACCCCTCTTCAGAAACATCCCGAACTTGCAGCATCTGCAAATCTAACTGCTCACCTCACTATTAGTCTTTTGTTTCTAACATGATGGAAAACTCTACGGGGTTTGAATGATGTGTGTGAGACAGATACTTTTCCAAATTAGAAGTTTCCACCCAAGAAATCTCCGCTGTCAACAAACACGAGAAAGTTCCATACTGAAGGCTAAGTGTAGTAACCAAAATATGTAGGTACATGTAGGTGTGGTAAGAGACCCAGGCCAGTGAAGAATTTCAGGTCAGCGTTGTACAACCCCAAGCAAGTTGCTTGATTTCGTTCCCTTTATCTTCTTCTGTCTAGAATTAGGAGATTGAACAAAATACCTCAAAACTCTCCCAACTCCCACATTCTGTAATTAACTTCATATGTACATTATAATAAGCCAGAGGTGCAGTGGGCTCCATCTTCAAAGGGGAATGGGAGTACCAGGTGCTTCGGCAGTGATGTTAAATAAGATCCACACATAGCTGGTGTTTCACTGAGACCAAGGAAACCTCATCTTACCGGAATGACTGGGCAGCTTCCCCCTGCTCTCCATGCATTCTACAATCAATTCTCTAGATACTGCTGATATCTTATCCTCTACCTAAAAATCTTCCAATTGGGTCATATTGTCACTAGAGCAAAGTTCAAACAACTCCGTAACTGATCTCCGAGGTCACATTAATGGATGATGTGCCAGCCCTGCCCACTTCCCCCTCCTATAGTCTCCATGGTGCCACTCTGAACTGGACTCCTTACAAGTTTCAGGGAGTCCCTGCTCTCTCTGCTCTCATCTTTCATGCCTGGATCTGCTGTGTCCTCTTCCACCCTCCTCCCACTCCTAATATCACCCAGCTAGCTACTACGCCTCCATCAGATTGTAGTGTACATGTCTCCCCTCCCCCATTAGAGGCCTCCATTGATCTCCTTCGGGACAGTGGTGGGTGAGCCGAGAGCAGGCCTCCCTTGCACTATTACACTAAACTTCATCCACTGCAACTGTGGGTCACTCGTCTGTCTCTCCCCCATGTGCAGGGAGGCTACATGTTGTTTATCACAATG